AAGTTCCTTGTCCAAGTTCTTGTCCAAGTTCAGGTTCCTCCCCTGGAGGAGAATCCCTAATATTTTCTTCTTCTGGTTGTCTTGTTATTAAAAAGAGGAGCGCCCCGATTCCAGGCGGCCCCTCCCGCCTGGGCCCACGCAGACAATAACAAGGCAGCCAGCAGTTGTCCAAGTTCCTTGTCCAAGTTCGGCGGGGGAACTTGGACAAGTGGCTTTGCAAGAGGAAAACACGTGATAAAATTTGTCCAAGTTCCTTGTCCAAGTTCTTGTCCAAGTTCAGGTTCCCCCAACAAACTTGGACAGAACTTGGACAACTGCAGGCTGCCTTGTTAGCACCACCTGATGGCGCGAAGACACGCACCAGCCACACCCAGGGAGCAAGACGCCATAGTCTAGTTGGCAAAGGCGCAGCTTCCGGAGGTGAACGGTACGGGGTTCGAGTCCTCCCTGGTTCTTTTGAAGTGCACTAGTGCAATTTGAAGTGAACGCTGCAAAACCTGGATGGTCTGGCTCATGCCGCATCAGCCGAAGCAAGGAGCAAAGGTGCCTTCTCCCCAGTTGATGGTACACTAGTGCAAATTGAAGTGAACGCTGTGATACCTGTATGCCGCGGTTCAGGCGGATGGATTCAAAGCAAGGAGCAAAGGTGCTGCCACGGTTCCAGAATCAGGTGGCTGTCCTTCAAATCGCTTCGGAACCAAATCACCTCGATTCGAGTGGTTTTTTGCAGAAATTGCCGATCTGGCAACCCTAATATTTTCTTCTTCTGGTTGTCTTGTTATTAAAAAGAATAGTATAAGTATCCGAGCAGGAGCGCCCCGATTCCAGGCAGGACGCGATTCCGTGCGCCTCACCCCGGGCGGGAACCCGAACTTGGACAAGAACTTGGACAAGGAACTTGGACAAATTTTATCACGTGTTTTCCTCTTGCAGAGCCACTTGTCCAAGTTCCCCGGGCGAACTTGGACAAGGAACTTGGACAACTGCGGGCTGCCGTGTTACAAGCTCTCTCAGTGTTACGCCCCGATTCCAGGCAGGACCCGATTCCGTGCGCCTCACCCCGGGCGGGAACCCGAACTTGGACAAGAACTTGGACAAGGAACTTGGACAAATTTTATCACGTGTTTTCCTCTTGCAGAGCCACTTGTCCAAGTTCCCCGGGCGAACTTGGACAAGGAACTTGGACAACTGCGGGCTGCCGTGTTACAAGCTCTCTCAGTGTTACGCCCCGATTCCAGGCAGGCCCCGATTCCACAACTTGGCCCAGGCCGGAAACCCGAACTTGGACAAGAACTTGGACAAGGAACTTGGACAAGTTTTATCACGTGTTTTCCTCTTGCAGAGCCACTTGTCCAAGTTCGCCCGGGAACTTGGACAAGGAACTTGGACAACTGCGGGCTGCCGTGTTACAAGCTCTCTCAGTCTTACGCCCCGATTCCAGGCAGGCCCCGATTCCGTATGCCTCGCCCCGGCGGAAACCCGAACTTGGACAAGAACTTGGACAAGGAACTTGGACAAATTTTATCACGTGTTTTCCTCTTACAGAGCCACTTGTCCAAGTTCGCCCGGGGAACTTGGACAAGGAACTTGGACAACTGCGGGCTGCCGTGTTACAAGCTCTCTCAGTATTACGCCCCGATTCCAGGCAGGCCCCGATTCCGTGTGCCTCGCCTCTCTCTTTAGAGGGCGTTTCCCAAATGGATTCTATTCTACCTGAGAGGCTCCCAGCACTCGTCCGTCCAGCATTTGACCTCGTCCTGCGAAGGATTCGAAGTCTAAAACGCTGCGTGCAGGCGTGTGGCTGCAAAATAATGACCCCTAGATATGCGCCGCAATTTGGCTCCAGGTTGCATTTCAAGCGATGTCAACCTTTGCCAAAGGAAACCCCTTTTCCCTTTTTTTCGGGGACCCCTTTTTTTGGGACCCCTTTTTTTTTTTTTTTTGTTTTTTCTTAGCCCTGCAAAGGTTGGCTCGCTTGAAATGCAACCTGGAGCCAAATTGCAAGCATATCTAGGGGTCATTATTTTGCAGCCACACGCCTGCACGCAGCGTTTTAGACTTCGAATCCTTCGCAGGACGAGGTCAAATGCTGGACGGACGAGTGCTGGGAGGCTCTCAGGTAGAATAGAATCCATTTGGGAAACGCCCTCTAAAGAGAGAGTTGGGACCCCTTGTTTTCTGTTTTTTTTTGCTTTTTCTTAGCCCTGCAAAGGTTGGCTCGCTTGAAATGCAACCTGGAGCCAAATTGCTGCGCATATCTAGGGGTCGTTATTTTGCAGCCACACGCCTCCACGCAGCGTTTTAGACTTCGAATCCTTCGCAGGACGAGGTCGTTTCCTGGACGGACGAGTGCTAGGAGCCTCTCAGGTAGAATAGAATCCATTTGGGAAACCCCCTCTAAAGAGAGAGGCCGTCCACCTGTAATGGTGCAGAAGCTGAGCAGAGCGGCTGCGATGCTCAGGTTGTTGCCGTGTTCTGGTCTGCGGCCAAGCGGTGCGCCACCAGCGCCAAGAATTTGGTTGGTTGCAAAAACGTTGGAAAGGCAGCCTTGGCCCTGCAAATAGCAGTGCGCGCGCTGAAGGCCGACGGGGGCTGGCAGGTGCAGGCGCTCCGCCGCGCGCGCTGGGCAAGTTGGCCAAGGGCCGAACGACCGGCTGCAGACCAACCTTATTGACTTTAGCCAGAACACTCGGAGAAGACAAGGCACGGCGTGATGGACGTCTTTGCTCGGAAGGCCGCTGTGGAACCCCTGCAGAACAAGACGCCAAGACGGTTGGCAACGACAAGAACTTTGTGGTTGACAGACCTGGGCAACGAGTTTGCCACGCTGGACCGGGAGCTGTCCAAGCTGAAGAAGGACCTGGCCACAAGGGTGGCGCGCAAGGGCGGGCAGTGGCCATAGCGAAAGAAGAAGAAAAGTTGCAACCAATTTTGCAAAAGAGGCAAAACAGCATAGAGAACTTGCACAACATTCCTTGCCAGCCAAAGAGCAACTGGCTTGGCGTTAAGGTGCATGAAAGTTTCTGTCTGTTTGGACAGTCTACGGTGCTGATGCAGTTGCGGGAACAAATGCGCAAGGTGCCAGCAGCCGCGTGGCGCAGCAGCCGTTGGCTGAATAAATGGCTTTCAGAATTTCGCGTACTTTCCACAAAGGGAAATGGCTGGTTTCCGCGTTCTGATGCTTCTGGATCTTGTGCGCACCACTTGTGGTGCATGTTAAGCTCGACAAGTTTTGAACGTTAGCATTAGCGCTCTAAATGCTAGGCGGTGTTTTATTTTAGAGAAACTGTTTTTTTGACGTTCACTGTGTTTTTTGCTTTATTTCTGTCATTTTTTTTCAAGCTTCAGAACACCTTCCCACCCTTCCAACCAAGAGTTTCAATCAGTTCACCAAAGTCGGAAAAACTTGGTAATGTTTCAGCCGCGAAATTGTGCAAACCTGGTAGATGAGATTAGAGACAATGAAGAGTTTTTCAAAAACAAAACCGGGCGGTTAAGACCTGTTGCACTGCTCCAGCTCAACTCAAACACTTTTACAAAAGGGAACCCAACAAAACAAGAAGAGCGCGCATTCCTTTTAAACCGGGTTGGTGGAAAGTGCACTGCTTCTAGGGCACGCGGTGCATCTAGAGCAGGGCATGTTCACCCCCGTGAAACAGATTAAAAGCGCCAGACTGCTCTGGCATATGGCAATGCAAATGCACGGCAAGCCGCGCCAAGGCGATACCGGCAAGCAAAGTGTTTGTAATTGGTTAAGTTGTAATTGGGTTGCTGGGCTACTGAGTTGTGCTGTTGTTGCTTTTGGCTGTTGGGCTGGGGCTGTTTGGGCTGGTGGGCTGTTGGGCATGGGCTGTTGGGCTGTTGGGTCGTTAAGTTGTTGGAAGGGTGTTTTTCCGCTGTTGGGCTGTTGGGCTTTTGGGCTTTTGGGCTGGTGGGCTGTCAGAGTTGTTTGACTGTTAGGTCTGCCTGTTAGGGAGCTTCCAGCCAGGCTCCTAACACGCCAACCTGCTGAACTTGTCATTGCTTGTCATCGCTTGTCATCGGGGCCTTTTTGGTGGGCAAAATGGCAAATTTTCGGAGTTGTGAACACCTCGTTCTTTTCGGTCAGAGAACCTTGTTCTTTTCGGTCAGAAAACGGCTCTTGTTGACGACTGGGATGTTTGCACAGCTGTAGCGTTGTATCCGTTTCTTCCGTGCGCCGACACAGGCTGCGAGGTGCAACAAAGAACAGAGAACGGTGCGGCTTGCTGCCCGTGCAACTTGCTCGGTCTACTCAACCCGATCAACCCGCACTTCAGAAAGCTCCGTATTTCTGGTTGCGCAGGTCAGGGGATACCAGCCCACTCACAGTTGAAGGCCCGTGCCCCGCTGGGCACCGCCTCTCAGCAACCCGACAAGAAAAAAGGAGCGGTTCACGTGATGGGTTGTGTATTTGTTTAGGAGCAGTGCCCGTAGCTTCTAACCACCGCGAACGGTAACACTGTCATTGCGGAATTGCCCGACATAGTAGGTATTTGTTCATGTCTTGCCGTTCGCAATTGTTTGACATTTGCGTGATTCACGATTCAAACACGGTTGTTTGGTTGTCAGGAACACGTCGCGCGCAGCTTTTGTGCATGCTTCTCATGTTGGCGGTGCTTAGTCAGGTGTTGTGTGACATGTTGGCCCATTTTGCACGCACAAATCTGCAGGTGTCGGCCATTGCTCAAAGATGCAACGTAAACGCGCCAAACTTGATTGTTTTGTCTTATTTATGCTGTAGCATCAGTGCTCCCAGATGGAATGAAATATAATGAAATCACAAAGTGATCAAACTCATGAAGCGACCAAGCAACACCACTGTGAGTGAGCCGTAGCTGCCAGTGTTGACCCTTGAACATTTTTTTTGCCGATGTCATAACGCAAGTCTCAAAACAACATTGTGCAAACACAAATAGTCCTATTGTGGCCCCAACCAATACACATTTGTGAGACGGACCCATTGTTTGGCATAGTGTTATGTCGCAATTTGACTGAATCATTCCAACGTGTCTCAGCCATGACGTGCCGACGGCACATGTGGGGTGTTGTTTTACTTGGAGCTGCGCTTTGCTTTGTGCCGCGCGGCATGACGAAAGGGTATTCAACAGTACAGACAAAGTGAAGAGGTGGCCTGGTTGAAATGTGCCGGCTGCACACCTGGCGCTTTTTGAAATGAGCCAAATGTGAATTCGGGGATTGCGTGAGCCAAATATGGGGTGAAGGAGCTCCGGCAGAGTCGCAGCTCTTAGGCCCAGTCCCACACCGTCGGCGGTGCCCCGAGCACGAGTTGCTGCGCCCACACGGTTCCCCGCACCGGCGGCGCCAGCGGCCGGAGTTCTTGCGGCGGTGGTCGGCACATTGGATGAAGCTGTTGCTTCAGGGGTTTCAAAGCTGGGAGGGTGCTCCGAACTTGGCTCATGTTGAGGTTTGCGCCCTACAGCCAGACTGAACGCGCTTGATGTGAAGCGACATTTGCTCTTTGACCACCTGCACTGCCATGATCGAGTTTAAGAATTCAATTTGATGTCTCCCAACGCAGCCGCGAATACGCGTTCGAATGTTTTGTCCATATGCTTTTCCTTCTATATGTGATTGTTGGGCTGCATGCTTGAGCTGTGTGATGACCAACCACGGTGCTCGAAGTGGCGACTTTGGCCAAATTTGCGAGGTTTGCCCAATTCGGACCTTGGAAGCAGTCCGCCTCTTTGCAAGCTGAGTTGTTTTTTTCTTTTTCGAGGGTACTCCTTTTTTGGCGGCTTTAAAGGGACGTGAACGGGGGAAGCTGCAGAGAAAACGGGAAGTCCGCGCCCCATGTTGGGGGATTCCTGACTGGGGTTTTGTTCTTTTGTCTGGGACTCCATTTCGGTTGGTTTTGAAAGGCAAGCCAGAAGGAAACAGGTCTCCTTACGTGGATGTGGTCCTTAAACTGGGACCCAACTGGATTGCTTTCCAACAAATTTCATGGCATTTTCGGGGTACGGAACAGAGTGCCAAACCGAACCCATTTGGGGTAGCTACAACTCCCTATTTTGACTCCTCACTTCTATTCTTTCGCATCTCCGTGTCCATGTGCCATCCCAACTTCCCAACATGTCCATGGCGCATGTAGCTTCAGCACCCATGGCCATTGTTTCGGGGGGCTGGGGAGCCACCTCAAAAGTGGTGCGTAAAAGATCCCCTCGAGAAATCCACGAGACTCGGTCCGGCGAGTCGAGGCCTGGTGCTGTCTTTAGCGCCGGCCTGGGCGACTCCGCCGGCCGACAGCGTGGAGGCCGCCTGGGGCTTCGTCAAGCGACGCCCGGCGGGAGCGACCGGTTGGATGCATGCTGCAAATGCCTTCAGCATCCGCCATCTTTGTCCACACGGCTTGCCATTACTGCCGAAACACAACCGCCACTTGGGTTTGGGGCAATTCAAGGACTGGGGAGCATGACACCTGAGAAAGTAAAGGAACCTGTATCTAAATGGCCGGTTGATGAGCTCCTGCGAGTGATGCTGCTTTGCTATGTATTCTACACATCGCAGCACCATCCCATGTGAGCCTGCTGTTGTTTGCTTTGCTTTGCGGGCTTTTGAGCCATACGTTGGATGTCTAGGCGGGGTTGCCAGGCTCAGCCGAAATTCCTTGCGCTTTCCGCAAGCGCGGCTCCGAGCTTGCCGCTTCAGGAAACTTTTACGACCAGACGTATAACCAGCAAGACTGGAGCGCCGCCCACGAGCGCTTCCTGGAGCGCGCACGCAAGGGTGAGCGACCGGGCCTCGGATATAGCCTCCATGGGATGTGGGGGCAGGTGGTTTGTTGGGTATCCTTTTTGGGGGTGGGTTTAGAGGGAAGCCAAAACGACAAGCACACTTTTGCAGCTGCCCCTATTTTGACACATACCCATGTCCAAACAAGGTAGCTCGTACTTGTGCAGATTCACTTGAACACATCAACATACAACCCACCACTCAAACAGGTGCTGATTGACATATTCTCACAAAGGGGATAGGGAGAGCGAGAGAGAGCGCGAGAAAGAGACACTTTCACATGAAAAGCAACCATCAGGCTAAAAAAGTGCGGAGCCATTTTGTTCCTATCGGCTTTAAGAATCCGGCTTTGCAAAATCTGATCCGTAAGGGGATGACACAGAAATCTGCTCGTTTTGGCAAGCCAAAGACCCCTCCAGAGCTCAGGAGCAGAGAGCATCGTGAGAGACATGGTGGGCTCCCTGGGTGATCGCTACAGAGCACTGGCCGCATTGGAATCCAAGGGTAGGCGATTGGTTCTATCATGGCGCGTTCTTAGTTCTTGGTTTCTCTTCTTTGTTTCTGGACATTTGATGACTTGATTTCATGTATGGCAACGTGCTGCCATATGAACGAAGGTATGCATGTCATCACGGCTGAGACCTTGGGAGTACCCGGATTCGTTTGGTCCTTTTGGTTTTGGCTCTTTTTGCTTTTGGTTCTTTTTGGTAGCAGAAGTGGGGTGTAGCGATTAATGTGCCAAAATAATTGGCATTCTTTTTGTGACAGTTCGGCATGGAAAGATTCGGAATTTTGTTCAAGGGAGCAGGTAGTGACGAGCAAAACACATCAGGGCTCTTGGTTGCCGAAGAATTCTGCAGATCTCTGTTGCCTTGGAGGGCCGTGTGACTGATGATAGCATTAGTCTCACACAGACTTTGTCAGTACGCACTGTAGACCGGACTGTGCGAACTAGGTCGTCGAAGTTACACGATTTTATGTTGACAAACACCGACTAAGTGGTGGTGTTTGATGCTATTCACAGCCGCAAGCCGAGCTGCTGTATCATTGTCGACGGACAGGGAACAATTCTACCGTGTGTCTTCTTTGCCACCGACATCGAGCAACGCACAAGCTCCTAGTTTATTCGTGGGGCTTCGCGTGATCTGAAGGCTGACTCACATCTATTTTGTCCGCGAAGGGAACGCGTGACGATTCTCCCGCACAGGGCAAAGCAAAACAGCCCAGGTTTAAGGAATTTGACCTGTGGCCGATATGTACAAAATTGGCATGCGTCGAGTGCAACTTAGTTATCTCTCACTGAAGGCCAAGCTCAAAGGCAAAGCGGCGAAGGGCTCCGGCTGCTCGGGATCGGTGCTGCGCCGCGGCCCAGGCCGCGTCATCGACGCCGAGACCTTTGAGCAGCTCATGGCTTTCGACCCTTTGGGCGTGGGCCTGGTGCTGGCGCGGAACGACCAGAAGGAGGCAGGGCCAAGCTGCCGCGGAAGGGAATGAGACGCGGCATGTTGCTGAAGCTGCAAGAAGCAGCTGAGTTGTTCAAAGGGAGTTTGAAGGCTTGCAGCACGTGGCAGGTCATCGTCAGTAGCCCCCCCTTCGTGGGTTCCTCAGCGGCGCAGGCAGGGGCTGGTCAGGCAAAGTTTTGCCGCGGATCGGGGAATCATGCGGAAATTGTTGCATAGAAACTAGCGATGCGTCAACGCCATTACTTTCGGTGCCACAACCAGTGCAAGTAGCTGCTTGCTTTGCCATGCTCTTCGCTTTGCTTGGCTTTTCCTGGCGTTTGTTTAGGGTCAGGCAAATCCGGCGATACGTGTGGCGCATGCAGGCTGGCATCAAGCAGGGCGACCTGGTGGACACTGTGGATGGGTTGAGCTTTCAAGAGACACTTGGCATAAACTTGGCATACGCGAACGCTACACGAAGGCGAAGCACTCGGAATCTCCAGGCAGTCACTGCTGGCTGTCTCGGACAAGGTGGCGCAGAAGGACGCAGAGACTGTGACTCTGAGCGTGCGGCCCAAAGATGGCGCGCCTCGCCAGGCGTCGGCTTCGGAGTTCGGGCTCGGGAAGCCATGATATTTTTGGTTTGCTCTGGTAGAACTTGCAGCCTGGGTGCTTCCCGCTTTCCTCGTGAGTCTTTGTAAGTTCATAGGGGACTGACCATATGTCAGACGCCATCCACTTGCTCAGACTCTGGCCCTGGATCCATGAAGTTGTCGACACGTAAGGCTCACCAGTTTGCAAATTTCCAGCGAGTAGCAGCTCGGGCCACGTTCTCAAGACATGTTTTTGTTATCAAAATGAACCTCATCATCCCTAACCTTGGTTTGGCCCATAGACCCCCGCAAAATTAAGCCTTGACGAAAGCTCCCACTGGGCACACTTCGGGAAGTTTGGCGTGCACACACACACACACACACCCAAGGAGGGTTGTTTCTAAACGGCGATCCGGTGTTTCTTAGGATCAGGACCGGAGCTTGACACTGAGTTGCCATCCCAGTGTGGGTCCTATGTTAAGCCGGTGGCAGCCTCCATTGCTTGCAGGGCTATTTGGCAGGTCAGCCTGGTGCGCTTGCGGCAGGCCAAGCCCCAGAACCAGGCCGAGTGCCCGCTTTGTTTCGCCGAGATGCTCTGTCCGGCCAGGTGGAGTCAGGAGTCGTGAGCAAGTCTGATGGCCACAAGATCGGGTGCGCCCGGTCCGTTGTCGGGTCCCAAGCGTGCAAGACCCCCTTCTCAATGGCAGCTTTGCTCAATTGGGGGTAGCCTTGACATTCTGCTCTTCACTGCTGGTTTGTCTAGATCGCCTTTGAGCTCAGCCGTATCTCTGGGGATGCCCCCAGAGATTGGCCGGGATCTCATTTGAGGATACTCTACATTCTGAGTTTCACAATCAAACATCACCTGGTTCGATGTGCTGCCCGTAAGGAAACAAGGTGTTGTTTCAACAACTTCACTATACAAGTAAGGTCCGGCAGAGCCGGGGGGCGGAAGTTTCAAAGCAGTGAACAACTATAGTTTGGAGAGCTGTCCTTGGCCCCTTGCTTCTCTCTCTCTCTCTCTTTTTCTCTCTTTCTCTCTTTCTCTTTCTCTTTCTCTTTCTCTGTCTCTTTCTCTCTCTCTCTCTCTCTCTTTCTCTCTCTCTCTCTCTCTCTCTCTCTTTCTCTCTCTCTCTCTCTCTCTCTCTCTCTCTCTCTCTCTCTCTCTCTCTCTCTCTCTCTCTCTCTCTCTCTCTCTCTCTCTTTCCAAAGCTCCCAACGAGCGCTTCAAGTTCAACTCTCCTCCCTCCCCCCCGAGAGCGCCTTTTCTTTGCGTCTGCCCAAGCCGTGCTGTAGTCTGGGCTGGAGCACGCGGCCCGAAACGGCACGCGTGTCAAGCGCACAAGCTAGGCTTTTCTCTTCGTCTGCTTCAGCGGTGCAGCAGTCCGCGCGAGCGCGCGGCCCGACGCGGCACGCGCCGACACGAACGCGCGGCCCGAAACGGCACGCGCGTCATCAAGCACGAAAGCTGGGCGAGGTCAAAGCCTCTTTTACTCTGGCAACCTTAGTCAACGGAGTCATTGCCATGGCGTCTTCCTGAAGACGCTTGATCTCAAGGCTGGGCTGGGAGTCCAAGGAAAGCTGCCACGCCCGACGGCGGGCAAACGGCTCGATATCTCCGTCCGCAGCCGGAAACTGGAAGATCACCTGCCAGTGACGCAAGGAAGGCTCGCCGTCCGTGTCGAACAGAACATGAGGCTTTGCAACCACCCGCAACAGCGTGTCAGGCCGCTGTCGCGCGATGGCCAAGCTGTCTCTGACGCTGACCACCCACATGAGGTCCGCGCGGATATCTGGCTGCGTGGCGTCTGCGCACTCGAAGACGATTCGCACTCCGCGCTCGGCTTCGTTGCACTCCTGCACAGGATCTTTGGCCGTCACTCGCAGTAAGAGCTCCGCATACTGGACTGGCAGATCCTCACCTGCCGTAATCTGCCCTGCGTCATCCAAGGTCGCGTCTGACAAGTAGATGCATGGGCAGCCCGGGAGTGAGGCGGCCGCGCGCAAGCGCAGGAGTGGCTTTGCTGAGCCCGAGTAGGTAAGCGGAGCCTCGCGAACATGCACCACTTGCAAGGTGTTGCGCGCGGCGCGAGAGCCAGTCGGTCCAGAGTACGCTTCGTCGTGCGCCACGACGAAGCGCACAGCCCACTTGCGGGCTCGGATCTCGTGCTCCGCATTCTCTCGCGACTGTACCGCGTCGCCCGGCCGAAATGCCAAGGCAGCACGCAGCACTTCGTCGACGCACTTGGTAAAGATCCTCGCGTCCAGCGTGGCCGTGTGATCCCACACAGTAGCCTCCAGGCTGTAGCACGGCCGGACGCCAGCTTCGTCGTGTTTGTCGCAAGTCTTGCGAAAGCAAGTGGCGCAGCCTGTGTAGTGCCAAGAGTCTTCCGGCACCCGGGACAAGGTCTGCAGGTGAGCCAGCGTGCAGAACGGTGCCTCCCACACGTCCTCGTGAGACCGTTCCGAGACCGTTCCGAGACCGCCGCCGTACAGGCGTCGCAGCCGAGGTGGTTTGCGCACAGTCCGGAAGCCCAATTCACGCACAGCGCCAACGTTTTCTGCATCTTGCCATCCCCCAGCTCGCAGAGAGTGGACGCAGCACCTTGCGAAAGTGCTGCGCCTGCCACGAAATCGATACTTGACCTTGTGAAAGTGCTGCGCCTGCCACGAAATCTACTTGATCTTGCGAAAGTGCTGCGCCTGCCACGCAATTCAAAGCTTGCGAAACCTTCGCGCGGCCGTGCCAATGGGCCCGTCTCCGAGACCGTTCCGAGACCGTTCCGAGACCGTTCCGAGACCGCCTCCGTACAGGCGTCGCAGCCGAGGTGGTTTGCGCACAGTCCGGAAGCCCAATTCACGCACAGCGCCAACGTTTTCTGCATCTTGCCATCCCCCAGCTCGCAGAGAGTGGACGCAGCACCTTGCGAAAGTGCTGCGCCTGCCACGAAATCGATACTTGACCTTGCGAAAGTGCTGCGCCTGCCACGAAATCTATACTTGACCTTGCGAAAGTGCTGCGCCTGCCACGAAATCTATACTTGACCTTGCGAAAGTGCTGCGCCTGCCACGCAATTCAAACCTTGCGAAACCTTCGCGCGGCCGTGCCAATGGGCCCGTCTCCGAACCCGTTCCGAACCCGTTCCGACCGTTCCGAGACCGTTCCGAGACCGCCTCCGTACAGGCGTCGCAGCCGAGGTGGTTTGCGCATTGTCCGGAAGCCCAATTCACGCACAGCGCCAACGTTTTCTGCATCTTGCCATCCCCCAGCTCGCAGAGAGTGGACGCAGCACCTTGCGAAAGTGCTGCGCCTGCCACGAAATCGATACTTGACCTTGCGAAAGTGCTGCGCCTGCCACGAAATCTATACTTGACCTTGCGAAAGTGCTGCGCCTGCCACGAAATCTATACTTGACCTTGCGAAAGTGCTGCGCCTGCCACGCAATTCAAACCTTGCGAAACCTTCGCGCGGCCGTGCCAATGGGCCCGTCTCCGAGACCGTTCCGAGACCCGTTCCGAGACCGCCTCCGTACAGGCGTCGCAGCCGAGGTGGTTTGCGCACAGTCCGGAAAGCCCAATTCACGCACAGCGCCAACGTTTTCTGCATCTTGCCATCCCCCAGCTCGCAGAGAGTGGACGCAGCACCTTGCGAAAGTGCTGCGCCTGCCACGAAATCGATACTAGACCTTGCGAAAGTGCTGCGCTGCACTGAAATCTGTACTTGACCTGCTGCGAAAGTGCTGCGCCTGCCACGCAATTCAACCCTTGCGAAACCTTCGCGCGGCCGTGCCAATGGGCCCGTCTCCGAGACCGTTCCGAACCCGTTCCGAACCCGTTCCGAGACCGTTCCGAGACCGCCTCCGCACAGGCGTCGCAGCCGAGGTGGTTTGCGCACAGTCCGGAAGCCCAATTCACGCACAGCGCCAACGTTTTCTGCATCTTGCCAGTCCCCAGCTCGCAGAGAGTGGACGCAGCACCTTGCGAAAGTGCTGCGCCTGCCACGAAATCGATAATGACATTGGCGAAGCTGCTGCGCTGCACGAAACCTATACTTGACCTTGCGAAAGTGCTGCGCCTGCCACGAAATCTATACTTGACCTTGCGAAAGTGCTGCGCCTGCCACGCAATTCAACCCTTGCGAAACCTTCGCGCGGCGTTGCCAAT